AAATTCTTATCTTTTTTTTCATTATTGAAGTACTGTCTGAAAAAACGCATTTCTGAAATATCTTTTTTATGCAATATGTGTCATTTTTGCAAGTCCAAAATTATTATTTTCGATCGATTTTTTATGTGTTTCATTTCTCTAAATTTTCTCAATATCATTACAAAAATTGCATTTTATCAATAGACGAATGAAATGATGTCAGCTGCAAGTATGTCAATATATGTATTAATATATGTATTTTATGGCATTAATTCATACCTGATTTTATCACTTCCTACTGTTCATAATTTGATGATTTAAACATTGGTTTAATTTATTATGCTACGTTCGTATTTACAACTACGGTTATGTGAGGCCATGCCTTGATGTGTGTAATGTTCGTTTGAGTACCGGAGGCGGTGTGTTGGTGTATTTGCCTCTGTTGATTAAGAAATGTAGTCCAGGTAAGATACACAGTAATATCGTATGTTCTATGAATTCTGCTATATTAATTGCCACTGAACTAGTTCCATATAAAACTACTCTTAACGTTTATTTGGAAAATAAGGTACATGTGTATAAACATATTTTTGTAGGGTCAATATTCGGCCCCTATTTCATTTTTTATTGTAGACACATAAAAATAAACAATAACTGCAGATAACCGTAGTGGACCTCCTAGCATAATATCAGGTTGTATGAGGGGATAATCCTAACAAAAAGATAACAAAAACAGATAAATATCACAGGCGAATGTAACTCTGAAAATGATTTATAATAGTGTATACAGTGTATAAAATACTGTATATGTCATATTGATATACATAAAGTAGGCGAAGTGATACTTTTAATTAGAAAAACATGTTAAATTTAAAATATATCCAACATTGCCAGCTTGCCTAAATAGTAACAATGGTAGTCTAGATATCATACTTCTTTAATAACTTTCCATATACATATTCTGTCTACAGGATCATTTTTGTGTAATATAAACACCGGTAAAATACTTTTGAAGCATGACAAATATAGCCAATGCACAATTTCACATAATCAGAAGATTCGATTATCAATTTTTACTATTGTTAATACCGATATATTTCTGTTTTTGTAGTATACCATTACACTTAATTATATTATGCATGTTTTAAATTATGTGCGGCAGTGATATTTCATATATATGTGACCTCTCCTCTGGAGAACTATTTAAGGATGAGATTGTGTTATAGACAAAGATATGCAAACATAAAAAACAATGAAATAATGGTGATAATAAAACTAATATACCCTTGATCAATGTGTTAGTTTGTCTTTTGCCCATTAATTAAACAAAATATGAAGGAATATTAAAGTATTTTATATATCTAACTCTTAACAAGAAAAGCTAGGAAATATATCCTTGTCTGACTCTCCATACCAAAATTATATTATAGCTCAAATCTTCAATAAAAAGAAAAATTCTTTCTTGAAATAGTGTACTATTTGGTATCAAAATAATAGCTGGAATATGTTGCATACGAAGATGATTTATTTTTTGTTATCTAAATGGAATAGGAGGACTATTGCACTTTAACACACATACACAGGTGTTAGTCAATGAGGTCCCAATTGTCATAAAATGAATTATGAAACTAACTGTCTTGTTTTGAAATTCCAAGCTGGGGCCGACGCCAATGTAAAATCTCCAGAGGTGTTGACCCTACCTTTGGCGGAATACAGCATTCTTTGTTATATTAAATAGGTTCAACCGTGTCAATTTTCATTAAATGATTGGAACAAAAAACAAGGTGACTTTCATAGTGTAATATCAGTTAAATATCTCTGTATGGTCCTTTTTATATCATCATTACTTGTTGTCGTTCTTCTCGTAAAAGATGATTTCGTGAATGAATTATAAGTGTCTCTCCTTGTGTTGCATGTAACGTTCCAAATGTGTATAAATGTCTTCTAAAGAACCTCCAGTTCACTCATATGAATCCGAGTTTACGGTTACATAAATAGTTTTCAAGTTTGCTTAGAAAACATTGTTCAGTTTGATTTTATAACTCTCATATTAAAACATTCAGAAAAAATATTGTTTAATACAAGCAGGCTGCATTTGGAAGATTTAAATAATAAGTAAACTGTAAATAGGGCATTCTGCTCTTTCGTATTTATGTAAGTGAATTTTACAGTTTTACCATCAGAACATGAGCTTGAGAGTTGCGAGATTTAAAATTATGTACGAGTTGGTTATACAAGATAAAGAGTCGATTCGGGTACGCTATTAGCGCTTGTACGAAATGATGCATACCATCAATTCGTATCGGCTACAATTGTTTAATACATGGTCATATATGTGCGAGAATCTATGAGCCCCCTCATCTTTATAAATACTAACCAACTTGAAGAAAATGCTTTAAAGAATGGCACCATTAGAATCAAAAGTGTATCCTCGGAAAAGGAAAGGGTGACAGTAAAATAAAATGGATGGATCATGGAATCAACAGTGTAGCCTATTCAAACAGACGTGTGTTTACCAATGCAAGCAAACATTTAACAAATATCTTAAAAAACATATGCTTTCCATGGAAATACATTATTCCTGTTTGCCATTTTGGGAACAATTGCCATGGACTATGATGTGACGCTGGAAGATCACGTCGCTTTATAAATAGAAGAATGACCATTGGAATCAAGTCCAGAGTGTTACCAACAAGTGTGTAACCAACAATTTGTACCAACTCCTAGCTGGCTTATCCAATGAGTCAGAAGTGAAGACACCTATAGTGTCTGAGGGAGAAAACAGTATTTCAAAATTCGAATTAATATTTAAAATACCTTTTGATGTAAAGATGATCTGCTTTAGTACACGATTAGAGTGATTCGGGTTTAAACGCGTTTTATGATTAGAGAACACGAGTATTTTTTTATATCACGTGATACCCACGTGATGTCCATGGAGAAAATGACCAGAAATTGGCAGCTTCGTTGTCTTTTAAAAGTCAAACGTGTCCAGCGTTTCAATTAGAACAAAACGTTAATGTCCGGTGCCATTTTACTCACAGCCCTTTTCAGTATGGTTTTTTAAAGGCCAAACATGTCCAGTTCAATCGAATGAAACGGAAACAAAAAATGCGTTTCACATGACAACATAACACATGGCAGCGTACATAATGGAGTTTGTCATAATTGCCAAGGAGATATGATTGAAACAAGTTGGCATCTGTCAGAAGTCGCCTTCCTGTTGATGTGGCCGAGTGGTTTAGTTCTACTAACACTAGCCCTCCATCACTGGGTTCGGGTTTGAGGCCTACATGCGGCATTGGCCTCAGGAAGGTGGTTTTGCCGTTTATTCCGGTTTTCCTCCATCACTACCAAACCTAGCTTGTCCGGAAATGACCATAGCTGTTATTAGGACGTTAAGCATAACAACCAACTGATTTGAGACTTCTATCTCAAGTTTTCTGTTTAAACCCGGCAGGCTTGTGGTCTGTATATAAGAAGCAACCTTTTTTGGTGCACCTGCAGAGTCCCGTTTTATTTTCTTTGTTTTATGTTTATGAGACTTTGAAGAAACAAAAATGACCTGCTGCCCCCATTACAATTCTTGGGATATATGTCTTATCTTCTCTAACTTGCCTACTCTTTCTATTCGGTGTCGTCTCCGTGTGAACCCGTTTTCATGTAACCTTGGTCATATAACGTTTACGCTAAGTTTCAGATCCGCGCTATCACAAGGAGGCAAATACACCAACATACCCTGCCTGCTACACACATACATACACACATATGAAATCATACACAACACACATGAAGGCACGACATGACTTTTGCTGTTGATAGGACGTTAAACCCCTGTACAATAAACCAACATCCTATACAAACACGCGAATCTTCCATCTCCTTTTTTTGCTGCATTGTCTCCAAAGACACTGTGATAAGCTCGTCTTCAGAACAATGTAACCAGGTGGAAGGACATGATACGTTATTCAGGTTAAGACATTTAGGTGAAATGGTTCACCATCCTCGGACATTATCACCATCTAACATTTATTGCCTGGACACTAAAGCCTGTGAGAAACTAAAGCCTGTGAGAAACTAAAGCCTGTGAGAAACAAACTAAAAACAGTATTCTACCGACTTGAAATCGCATATTGCCATACAAAGTTGTAGTTGTTTGAAATATTAATGTTTGAAAATAGAAATGATGATAAGAAAATAGCTAGGGTCGAACCTTAACATTGCGAAGCCTACACTTTTCCAATGTTACAGAATTATACCATCAGTACCCTATCATTGTGGTAAAAGGTATCATTGCATCATTTATTATCGCGAGGAAGAGTTCCACTAGAATGATTTTTACTTGGAATTTTCTGCCGTCTATATAGAAGATAAAGCAACAAAAAGGCGTTTTGTGGATATGGGTAACTTCCCCAGTCAAGTTTGTCATATGCCTTGCGGCCCATAAATGTGACACTCCTTCTGATGGCTTCTGTAATTCCAGTATTGCAACATGGGTAAAGTGTAGGCAACTCCGGCTATTTTTTTGTTTTCATTTTTATTTATTTCTAAAACATTAAAATTTCGGACAACTACATTTCTGTAAAAGGCATGGCAACTTGTGATTTTTATGTAATATCTCTATTAAAAGAATGTTAAAGAACCACATATTTTACAATTGTATGGTTATAATATATTTTAAGCAGTAGGTACCCTTCACCTTTAAAGTTGGTTTTATTAAACGATGATCAATTTAAAAACAGCAGCAATCATGTAACAATTTTAAGTTTAATAATTTTGAAATCACAAAATGACGTTAATTGTGTCACTTATAGAGCATTGTACTCGAGAGAAACAACATGCTAGTAACACAAGTAACACCAATTATTGGCTTTCTCGCTTCGACCCGGACCGACACAGCTGTATAAATGTACTACATCTTTATGTGCGTATGAATAATTAATTGATAGCTATGCGTGATCAGGTAAGATAGAGAATCGACCATGGCGGATTGATATCCAAAGTCCAGTCGTTGTAACGGGTCGAAGCGGGAGGGGGCTACTGACGGGCGAATTTTCACATGTGCTAAATTATTGATAGGGCCTGTCTTGACTTCTTCCTCCTGATTATGTAAATAGGTGCTGTGATCGAACCCTTTGCTGACTGACAGTATAGCTGTGTCCATACGTGGCGTTACCTGTACAGAGCAAACTAGAATGTATTGATTTTCTCCAGGTATAACGGAGTAACAGCTGGTTCTCAAAGATGACTGTATCTCCGGTATACAGCTGATTTGAAACGTTTTCTCTGTGATTTTTCGCATTTATATATATGTCTTTAAATCCACGAGTAGGGACCACGCCCTGCTAGCTCGCTACCTACACATATCGGGGTGCGGTCGATTCAGTACATTGTTCATAAGTCTTGTTCTGTGTTGCAATGCTGGTGGCATCTTTGTTGGAATACGGGCCGCTGTCGAGTGCTATCCTGGGTGCTTCAGTGTTTACATTAAAGTGGGGATAAATACGTCTGTTTCTCAAGTGGAATGTTACATCTATGTTACCGTTTAAGGAGATTGAGATAAGTATGTAACGCGGTCACGTGGTTATTGGATTTTAAATCAATCGGATTCGGTACGTGATAAGGTATACTTAGTGGAGTAACTGTCGTGTAAGGACGTACGTACTGGGAGACCTCAGCTTATATTTGTATACATATAAACAAGTAGATCGGATTCTCTTAATGATACAAACAGGGAATTACAAGGATGGTGTATTTGTTATGCCGTGATGAATAGACAGAAACAGTCGATACAATGCTATGAAATATACAAAGATGTTTAGTCTATATTGAATATGATAGCTTGGAATATACAAGAGTACTAGTGGTGTTATCATTCTAAAAAGAAAAACAACTGTTAAAGAAACTTCAAATACTTATTTTGGAGTACAGCACATCCCGGAAAAGCATCAGTGAATATTTACTCAGGATAGCGATTAGTGAATATTTTAACTCAGGACAGAATACTAGTGAATATCAACTCCAGATACAACACAGTGAATACTCACCCGGGAAAACACACCAGTAAATACTTACTTGGGATAGCATACCGTGACTACCACACCGGGATAGCTCGCGATAACCTACCAGTGAATATTAACTCGGGATCGCACACCAGTGGTTGTTGACTTGCTATATAACAAGGAATTATTGTATCGACGTCGCGGTAAAACCTAGAGTGCGTTGGGTACCACAGGGAAGCTGATTTCGATTTTGCGATTTTGAAATAATATGGTATCGCATGGGCTTTGGAATCAGCAAACAGGTTACGATCAACCAAAGGAACAAAGATAGCCCCAGGTAAATATCGAAACCTGGCACGTCCAGGTATGCTGCATCACCCCTACTACCTTTGCTTACCCCTCCCCTTCCCACACTTTCCCTTCCCAAACTTCTTCCTCAGTACTCCCCACCACGACTTCCTGTCACACCACCAACACCAGCACCGATTTTGCACGTCACTTCCTTTCTCATTCATCCCGCACCTTCACGTGTCGCTTCCCTTCACACACCCACCCACGATCCCCACAATGCTATCCATACATTATTCTCTCCGTCTTTAACTCGCACATCCCTCCCCACCTTCTGCTTCTCCCCTACATGCACGAATATCTCATTCCGCGCCAGCCACTCTTACTTCGTAGGCGTCGAACCCGACCCGGTATCCCTGCCCCTCCCTAAGCACCCCCCCCCCCCCCCCCTTAATCCTCCTATATCACTATATTTAATCTAAGCTTAGTATCACATACGTATTGTCCATTTGTGGAAATTCGGTCAATCTTTCGTATGGTTTGAGTCAAGGGCGAAAAAATAATAATCACATGGTATTGGGTGTGTGGAAGGGCGGTTGAGGTGTCATTACGTTAGAGTCACAGAAAGATTGGAGGGTTTGGGTTTCAGTAAAACGATCGCGTCCATATATATATATGTCAACCAATCAATAGTACTACACCAGGTGTGTATAGATACTCCAATCGATAAACAGTTTACGCCCTTTAATCAGTGATCACCTGACACATTCAGTCGTTAGCGTGTGTTCAGAGTCGTAAAATAAAATGGTTCGAATGGTTTGTCAGTCACGTAGTTTTTGCGTCTGTTATTTTACGACAGATTATTCGCGTTTAATTTAACTCACGATACAAAAGTAACGAAATCATGGGTTTCTAGGTGACTAAAATGGGATCCAATGCTAAGGACGGGATGGTTTATTTTGTTAAATGTCCTATTAACAGCTAAGGTCATTTAAGGACGTGCCTCAATTTGTATTATGTATGCGTGCATGTGCTTATGTTTGCCGGAGGCATGGTATGTTAGGGCATTTGCCTCATTGTGATAGCACGGATCTTATGCCGACTTTATAGTGCTATTTTACTGAAATGCCATGACCCCAATGGTACCCATCACAGCATTCCGTCCGGTTACATTATACTGACAACAGGTGAACTAGTTTTTACCATTACCCCAAAACCTGAACGTTAATTAGAGAATAACTACTACCATTTTTAAGGACTTTGGTATGTTCCGGCCTGGGAATAGAACCTTTTGCCTTCCTTACTTGGGAGAACGCTCCACATTAAAGCCAAAAGTGAGGTATTGCCAATCAAAGCACTAGGAAATTAAAGGCAGTTAGAAGTAGTGAGACATATAAAGATCCCAACTATTGCAATTGGTGCAGCAGATTTGTTTTGATGGCTTTTGTATCCCCAAGTAGATGGCACAAAAGCAAATCCCCAATTTTGCAGGGGTTCCCACATAAGTTGCTTCTTACGGTACATGGGTAGCAGCAGGTGTATTCTTGTCGTAATCCCCGACCTGCAGGAATTTTATTCAATCTGCTGCATCACTTGAACTTCTGTATTTGCAGTTTTTATCGTGCACATTTTTCTATAACTTGCTGGTTTGCAGGTCTTTAAATCTTTATTTTGCAACGAATACTGCTAACACTACCAGTTTCTACCTCGCGATCATCAATATGATATTCACTAAGTTTCTGAACCATTAAGATACACTGTATCATTAAATTTAAAAACTTTTGCTGTAATAGTTTCAATGATAATAGACTAGGATCTTATCAGATAGACATGTCATTCGGTTTCAAATATAGATATTAATATACGATGTAAAACCTTATTATACTGCAATCATTTGTTAAGCGAAAATGTGGAATAATTGGTTCTGTAAAGGGATTTTGCGATAGCTCAAGGGAGTAGTATTACAGAATTGTTATGATAAAGGGAAGATGGGGCCCTAAGGGCAGTACATGAGAACACAAAATTGAATCAATGGGCGTTTTACTTTTATTTGAACGTTTCTTAACATCCAAATGAATTTGGCCACAATATCTTCACAATAAATGCACAAAATCTTAATAATTATGATAATGTATTACTTAAAACTGATCAGAAGTCCATATATATAAGTGATATCTTATTTTTTTCTATATTTATTCCTTGGAAGCAATGCTATTTTAGAGGAATGTCAAGTTTGTTTATATAGACACCCTGGGTGTTAGACCTACCTTGAAGCTCTAAGTGACACCGATAACACTTAGGTCCTGGTATTTTGCGCCAATCTAGATTCAAGTCAAAATGTTATTGCTGGCTACTTCGTATTTCTTTTCAATGATTGAATATTCTTGTTTATTACGTTTTTACCTGTGAAATTATCCATTTGATAAAATCTAAACGGTGTCTTCACTGTAATTACGATATAAGAAATGTTATACCGTCCCATTTGTGGATATAAGGTCCTTTATCAATTATGAATTGACCAATCAAATTGGCATTTTCTATTCTCTGCATTCAAAACCGCAGGTTTTGCTGTTAAGCAACAATGGAAGCGACGGTAAAATAAATTATTTTTGTATATCTTTGGTACACACACACAAACTAATTAATATAACTTAAAACATTTTGGGGAAAAAGTACGAGATAATAGCAGAAAAGGTTGGAGTATCATTGATTAGTCCACTCAAAATAGCGCCCAGTCTTGATGTCAAGCCTTTTGTCATAACATGGCGTGTTCATTATTGCGCTTAAACAATGTGATAAATAGAAAATGCAATGGCTTTTCCTTGAAATACATGTATAATTTACTTGTTTAGCATAAAAAACGATATTTTCACCGCGAAAATTATCGGTATTCTACCATACTCCTGCAATAGATATGATATTCAACAAGAAACAATAAAAGTCTCTATCTATTTGGTTGCTTGTATGACCCGATTTTAAATTGTACGGATACAGATGATCTTCACCAAGTAAAAGTAATTACGTTATTTATATTATACACAAGGGATCCTGTGTGTGCATTCATTATAGCAGCGTACCATCTCGTGTACAATTGGGGTCGACATAAATATCAAAGTTCTGAGGGTTTGACAGTTCACGAGTCCCTTCTGGGTTATCTGCCCCTTCTGATAGACTTGCTCAAGTACACAAATAGGAACAGTGTTCATACATCATGCAATAATTAGGTGTATGTCACATGTATGAATGGGATCAACATCAAAGAACTGAGGAAATGACAATTAATGAAGAGAATATGGGTTATCTGCCCCTCCTTACAAATATAGTGGTCAGCTCATTTGATAAACTTGCTCAAGACCATAAATAGTAACGTGTGTACAAGTACATTATATATATATATCTAGAGTACATCTCCTGGCTGTTTGGGGTCTGCATCAACATCAGAGTACTTCGGGAATGACAGTTTAAGAGAATATTTTGGATTATCTGCCCCTTCTAAAAGATAGATAAGTTGGACAGCTCGTTTAATAGACTTGTTTAAGTCCAGATATACTAACGTGTGTACCGATTGTATGTGTATCTAGAGTACAACTCCTGGAGGTTTGGGGTCTGCATCAACATCAGAGTACTAAGGACATGGCATTTAACGAGGATCTTCTATGTTATCTGTTATATTGATATACTTGCTCAAGTCCACACACACACAAGCAGTGTACACACCTATCTGGGTTATCTATCCTTCTTAAATCAAAAGCGGACGACTCATTTGTAAGTCTACCTTGAGTCAACAAATATGAACAAGTGCATCTTTTTTTTAAGCCTGTAAATCTATGGCGGTCAGAGTATGGGGTTATCTGTCCAATCTTTAATTAATGTCGGTCAGGTTATTTGAAAGATTTACTCAAACAATTTACATGAACTCCTTAACCAGTGGAACTGTTAGCAAGTGTACGTGCTGTTAATATCTTCGTGACTTCACTGTTGGTTACAAAGACGCGAAATCTCGAACAAACAAGTGCGACCCCATAGTGATTGCAATATTCAAAATCTAGGCCAAAATAAAGATAACTAGAAAATCGTTCGAAAACAGGCATTCTATACCTGCGATAGTAAAGTTCGTGTTACATAATTCGTACACGGCATGCTGCCGGGCACGGCTCGATATGTGATCGTTACCCCTGTAATCAATAAATCAATGAGTTTATAAGAATATTTAATCAATGTGTACACATTTTAAATATCTGTTACCGACAAACCGAGCTATCGTCTCGTGCACTGACGGGATAACATAGCTTCAATGCATGGTTAGCTTTACGTTGAATTTCTGCCAGCGCTATTTTCAGATATTTGATTACGTAGTAATAAAACAATGGATTTATCTCCGAAGACGGAGAAATAGGGGGAAACGGATGAGCAGACGAGATAGGCTTTTCAATAAGGATAAAATGTTACAATGATAATACAGTCCCGTTTCCAAGAAACATCATTTCCCAGAACGTTCGTTGAACATGGGTCAGACAGATGAAATATAATTTAGAAAGGAATTTGGCTTTAAAGTAAATTTCAATTTAATGAAATAGAACCATCAATGTAACATGTGGGTTTGGGTTTAAAGGGTTTAGCACCCTATTACTGTAATAGTTCAGGTCACCTAAGGACGTGCCGTTATGTGCGTAATGTTGGTCGTCTTATTCTTCCATTACAAGGATCAGAACTGCAAGGTTAAAGTGCATTTGACTCTGGGAGGTGGCACTTCAAAGAATGTATTTTTTTGTTATTTTTAGGTATTATATTAAAACTATGTACATAACGAGGGAGCAAAACGAGTAGAGAGACTGGTGGTAACCTTCAAGTTAATCCTCACTAAAGGCCAGTGACGNGGGGGAGATAATTTGTAGGCGTCGTTTGTGGTAGATATTGTGTTTATTTTATGTGCCCCTTGTTCGTCTGTCACCTGATGTCCAGTAAGATGATGGGTTATTTTGAACGATATTATACGAGATCTGTATAGAATTGTCCCTTCTTTGCGATACATATTTGCATTCTTTGTGTGCTGAAGTTGGTATGTTGTGCCTCCTTGTGATAGCGTGGATCAGATGCCGACGTTAGAGGGCTATCTCACTGAAATACCTCCCAGAAGCCACCCATAACAGTATTACAGATGGTCACATGTATATGCTGACAACGGGCTAACCAGTCATTGCGAGTGTCTAAATACTGAAATTTTAGCAGGGAATAACATACTACTATTTTATGGATTTTGGTATGTCCCGGCCCGGTGACAGAACCCATCGCCTATCACAAGATCGAACGTTCTGCACTACAGAAAAATACGAGGTAGTGTTAAGGGGGGCGTTACAGAGCACAGGGACATGCTAATTTGCTACGTAACGGACATAAACTGATGTTAAAATGATATTACACGTATTAGCTTAGATCAGCTCTCGGTTGTAATGCCCCAAATGATGACATTATATATAGACACGAAGCATAACTGTTTAGAACAGTAACATAGGTCCCAACTCTCGCAATTGGATGCATTATATTCATTTTGTTGCCAATGTGCAATTATGTACTCGCCATGTGCTGCAATTGCGCATATGAACATTCCTGGTTAACTAAAGAGATGGATGGACTGTGATTCGTTCGGTCCATCAATGATATGGAATCAATTACAATAACTTTAATGTCACATCACACAAACAAAGATTACATGACACACGTTCCATTAAACCGTAGGGAATTCTTTCATTTACAGTTTACATAGAACTCAGTAGATTTTTATCATCTGTTGTTTTATTGTATGTTTATAGTTTGATTGAAGTGTTTAAAGGACATGGCTACACCCTGATAGATTTACAACATTCAAGGTCAGGCTCACAGAATAACACGAGATAAATTTATATCTTAAGTGTTCTTTCTTTGGATGTCTCGTTGCTGTCTCAAGAACATTTCGTCGTTTTATTATTTGTTCACATTTGGTAGAGACGTTTACTGTCTCTAGCTCTCGAGACCCTTTCTGCTATCGCTATGTTCACACAGTGACACATCAAGCACCCAATATGTTCTTATTTCAAGGGTTATCGTATGATAAAAACACAATAAAAATGGACCAAGTTTGTATCGGCGACATAGAAACGGTCCGAGTTTTCAATATACCGACCCGGAGAAAGGCCGCAAATTTCTCTGTTTTAATAAAGGTATATACTGTCTAATTGTGAACTGTATCTTTTTTTCAAAAACCCAATCCGAACTAAGAAAAATCTCAAATATATTTTATGAATGTCTTCAATAAGATTCATCAGTTAGCCTGGCAAAGGTTTGAAACGTTGCGACACGTTTGATACGTACATTGTTTGTGTAGAAAGTAAAGCTTCGATGTAATCTTTTATGACTGGCATTTTGACTAGACCAGTCAATAGATAAGACTGTAGAGTAGAGAGAGGTACATTAATTAACAATGTTAGATATCCAATATCAAATACGCTACACGTGCTTAAATAAAGAGAGATAACTCTAACACAATTAACTTGTTTACCGAATAAGGTCATATATACCCTTAAGTGTCCTCCTGTATTTGCGACTCGAAGCTGTACCAATCAAATTGTCTGTCAGCAAAGAACTGGAAACATGTACAATCTTGAAAAAGAAATTTACATCGCGGAGAAAATTTCAAATTGTTATCGTGAACTCTATGACAGATATGTCAATAAAGTAATCAATATTGAAAGGCATATCTGCCTACCAATGGAGTAATGGAGGCATTGCCTATCATAAACGTCAGCATTTATAGCTTCGACAAGTGGTAAACGGTTCACAGATTGTCTGGTTCTTACCTTTTATTTATCAATATATACCCAATATATCTACTTTTAATCAGCGATCGTAAATTTTGGACATCCGTACACCTTCAGTCATACGATAAGCATACCTGGGACTTTATTGATATTTGTAATTTGAGGTCAAAGTGAAGGTTAAGAGAAAGGTCAGATAAAGGTGAAGTTTGCGAACAAGTAAAACAGAAGGGAGAACAGTTGAATTGATTCCATGACAAGTAAACGTATTTTTCTACATTGCATACAGTGTATACTCTTATGTTTATATTAAATACTATATTAATATTTAACTAATTCACTCACTCCTTCTCTCATTTATCTATAATTAGTTTGGGTTTGAGGAATGGCGAAAACAGATTTTTGTTTCTTTTAGTAATGACATTAAAAAAAGCGTTATTGATATAAGTTCATAACTGCTAAGTAATTGCTGTAAAATGAATATACATGTAGGTTAATTTAAACATTGCTTTTCCAGCATCGTTATGTTATGTACATTTCTACTTCACAGGAAGATCAACTTGCGTTTACTTAAAGTCAAAGTATAAAACGTATATTGCATAAATAGTTTATTCAAATTGGTTGAAATTGAATTTCACAATTCAGAATCGTTTCATCGGAGAGCGCTGTGCTAAGACCGACAGGTACCGGGCATGACCAAGTATTATACAAGACGTATTGCTCAATTAGCTTTAGGTTACGGACGTGCTCTCTAACAGAAAAACAGTATATGATTTAAATACCCACTAACAAATATTACATGGTAGCAAGTTGTATAAAAGCATTGGGGAAATGGAGCTAAACTTGATTTTTTTTCTGATACATTTTTAATTGAGTATACATGCTACATTTTACTGACTTTAATCTGCAGCTTCTATCTTAACGAGTTATATAAAGGACATTGAGTGAACGACATTTCCCACGATGCAAAAAAACAGAAAAGGATATCTAGTTATCTGTGTAAAATATGCGAAAAACGCGAAAGCTACACGTTCCTTCTTTGTTCTTACCAAAATAATTCAAATTTTAACCCTGTTAATCATTTTGACGGTTTATCTTGATACACACAACTCTAACCACTCTCTAATTATACCACATGTACTCCGTAACCCGACCCAATCCATCATACCTGCAACCACTCCCAAAATACAGGAAATTCCATCAATTCCCTCACAACTCTAGTAACTCCCTAATAACACTACACAAACCACCCACGCCTTGTTCCCTCATAACTCCACCCTTCCTTGATGACTTCGCCCATACATTATTCTTCAAAATTCAATCCATTCCCTCATTTCTCAACCCATTCCCTCATATCTCCACCCATTCCCACATATCTCGAATCATTCTCTCATATCTCCACCCATTCCCTCATATCTCCAATCATTCCCTCATATCTCCATCCATTCCCTCATATATTCATCCATTCCCTAGCTCATAATTCCAATCATTCCCTCATATCACCTCCCATTCCCTCACAACTCCACCCATTCCCTCATATATCCAATCATTCCCTCATATCTCCATCCATTCCCTCATATCTCCAGCCATTCCCTCATATCTCCAATCATTCCCTCATATCACCACCCATTCCCTCAAAACTCCACCCATTCCCTCATATCTCCAATCATTCCCTCATAACTCCACCCATTCTATTATCACTCCAATCGTTCCCTCATATCTTCATCCGTTCCCTCATATCTCCACCCATTCCCCCATATCTCCACCCATTCCCTCATAACTCCATCCATTCCCTCATAACTCCACCCATTCCCTCATATCTCCAATCATTCCCTCATAACTCCAACCATTCCCCAATTACTTCTCCCATTTCTCATATCTCCAACCATTCTCTCATAACTCCGTCAGTTACCACATTACCCCGCCTTTTCATAATGACTCCTTCCATTCCCTCATTACTCCGACCACTCGTCATATCACCACCCACTTCTTCATATCCCCAGCAATTATCTCATAAATCCACTTGCTCTGTTTTGAAGCAATTCGTTCCATTTTCGTCTATGCTTTGAAAACCCCGCCCACTCTACCCTTGTGTCTCTTTCTACAGTCTAACAACTATATCCTGACTCCGCCTACAGTGTCTACACTACTCATACTGCATGCTTACGTCAGCCATTCTATCCTTATAAATGTTCCACTTACAATCCATGCATGTTTAAGGAAGCTAAAGAGAGTTCGAACTGAAGAACCTGTATTTGTTTGTTGTAGAAGCACCGTCATCGTATTCAGCAAAGAGGACGCAGAGAGTGTACTAAAGGGAGAAGAAACTGGCACCTATCTCTTGTATCGGGACCATGACACCGATAGGCTCTACCTGTCCCTAAGGTAATTACTAATTAACTCAAGTTTCTTTATTAACTTTTAACTGCAGAGGATCTCTGCGGTTCTTCATATCTCAACCCATTCTCTCATAACTCCACTTGCTCTGTTTTGATGCAATTCATTTCTTTCTCGTCTATGCTGTGAAATTTCGCCCACTCTACCCATTGTGACTCAGTCTATACTAAGTAGTACGCCAACTGTATCTTCACTCCGCCCACACTGTCTTTACTGCATAGACTGTAGACATAACTCCAACAACCCAGGTGAAGTATAAAATGGTCTGGGGTTGATGTTGCGGTATCTGTGCTGTAGCTATCAGGTGAGGTTGCACTATAAATGATACCGTTGGAATCACGGTCCCACTACAAACAGAACACAATACATCTCCAGCACAGACGCAGACATACACACATAGGGATATATCAGCTAGGTGGCATAGGACTAGTAGTAAGCGCCTGATAAAGTAGCTCCTGCGAATTCCTCAAAATTGTATTGATTAATGTATATGCTAATTGTATTGATTGTATGAATTGAATATCTATGTACTGTAGAGCGTTTTAGAGCGGCTGATGCTAGCCAGATAGGACGTTATACCAACTGCTGTATATTATTCTTATATTATTCGGTTCTGCATAAATTATACAATGCAAATTGACAGTCACAAGTTAACGCCTGGTAACGCATGTGTGCACCCTTACTCGATACCGATATATACAACTCGCCCAAGACAAGTCTCACAAGTCTCACTTTGACATCTGTAATACGGGGAGGTTTTTGACAATAGAAAACAGAAACGTTTCCTCGCAATAAAAGGGGTGTTCCATCCAATGACCTGTGATTCATGACAATTTGGTGTTTTTTCCAGATCGAGTGATTATGTAGAGCACCATCGAGTAAATTTCGAGGATAATCTTTATTATATGGACAACCAGCCTTACCCCTACCTCGACTCCATTGTCCTGTATCATCAAAAACATAGACTCAACGGTACCAAACTCACCCACCACGTAAGTACTCCAGACAAAGTATAGACTCAACGGCACCAAACTCACCCACCACGTAAGTACTCCAGACAAAAGTATACACTCAACGGCACCAATCTCACCCACCACGTAAGTACTCTAGGCAAAAATATAGACTCAACGGTACCAAACTCAACCACCACGTTAGTACTCCAGACGAAAGTATACACTCAACGGCACCAAACTCACCCACCACGTAAGTATTCCAGACAAAGTATAGACTCAACGGTACCAAACTCACCCACCACGTTAGTACTCCAGACAAAAGTATAGACTCAACGGTACCAAACTCACCCACCACGTAAGTATTCCAGACAAAGTATAGACTAAACGGTACCAAACTCACCCACCACGTAAGTACTCCAGACAGAATACAAAGACTCAACGGTACCAAACTCACCCACCACGTAAGAAGTATTCCAGACAAAATACAAAGACTCAACGGTACCAAACTAACCCATCACGTAAGTACTCCAGACAAAGTATAGACTCAACGGTACCAAACTCACCCACCACGTAAGTAATCCAGACAAAGTATAGACTCAATGGTACCAAACTAACCCATCACGTAAGTACTCCAGACAAAGTATAGACTCAACGGTACCAAAATCACCCACCACGTAAGTATTCCAGACAAAGTATAGACTCAACGGCACCAAACTCACCCACCACGTAAGTACTCCAGACAAAGTATAGACTCAACGGTACCAAACTCACTCACCACGTAAGTATTCCAGACAAAGTATAGACTCAACGGTACCTAGCTCACCCACCACGTAAGTAATCCAAACAAAGTATAGACTCAACGGTACCTAACTCAACCACCACGTAAGTAATCCAAACAAAGTATAGACTCAACGGTACCAAACTCACCCACCAACGTAAGTAATCCAGAGAAAGTATAGACTCAACGGTACCAAACCCACCCACCACGTAAGTACTCCAGACAAAGTATAGACTCAACGGCACCAAACTCACCCACCACGTAAGTATTCCAGACAAAAGTATAGACTCAACGGTACCAAACTCACCCACCAACGTAAGTACTCCAACCAAAGTATAGACTCAACGGTACCAAACTCACCCATCACGTAAGTATTCCAGACAAAGTATAGACTCAACGGTACCAAACTCACCCACCAACGTAAGTAATCCAGACAAAGTATAGACTCAACAGTACCTAACTCACCCACCAACATAAGTAATCTAGACAAAGTATAGACTCAACGGTACCAAACTCACCCACCAACGTAAGTATTCCAGACAAATTATAGACTCAACGGTACCAAACTCATCCACCAACGTAAGTAATCCAGACAAAGTATAGACTCGACGGTACCAAACTCACCCATCACGTAAGTATTCCAGACAAAAGTATAGACTCAACGGTACCTAACTCACCCACCACGTAAGTAATCCAGACAAAGTATAGACTCAACGGTACCAAACTCACCCATCACGTAAGTATTCCAGACAAAAGTATAGACTCAATGGTACCTAACTCACCCACCACGTAAGTAATCCAGACAAAGTATAGACTCAATGGTACCAAACTCACCCACCACGTAAGTAATCCAAACAAAGTATAGACTCAACGGTACCAAACTCACCCACCAACGTAAGTATTCCAGACAAATTATAGACTCAACGGTACCAAACTCACCCACCAACGTTAGTATTCCAGACAAAGTATAGACTCAACGGTACCAAACTCACCCACCACGTAAGTATTCCAGACAAAGTATAGACTCAACGGTACCAAGTATAGTATACGTAAGTATAGTACAACAAAAGGCAAGTCTCACGAAATTAATCTAACTTACCGCGTAAGTATTCGAGACATTGTTCCATATCAATGATCAACTTTCTTCTCCAAAATTTGAACTGATCAACGATGGCTGACGAAACGACGTAGGAGGACGGACAATGACGTCATGTTACCATAGCGTAGGTAGCAACCAATGAGTTCCCGCCTAAAGGTGTTTCTTACTACTGGTGTTATACGTCGTATTCAATATACTATTTTTTCTCCGGGATTAAGATGTGCTTCTGGTTAACACAGATATTCTGAGAGTTATCAAATTTATTTGCTTAAACCATGTTGTGCAGTTCCCGGCAACATTTCTAACAAGAGCGTACATATGCCTTTCAACAAATATTTTAGAAATTTTAGCTTTATTCGCCCAAATTTACACATCTTCACTTCCACGATGTAGGCTTGCTATTGTTTTGCCTTCCAACTGAAAGTATAAATGAACCCCTACCATCCCCATCCAAAATATGGCACGTGACCACCAAATAATGTAACTTTTATTCCAGGAAGTTACATCTCAAAAACAACAAAACCTCGAATATTTCATGACTTGGAAATTAGCTGCATCACTGTTTAACGATTTATCGGGTATGTAATTTATAAAAGGAAATATATATATATATATATAATATTTCAGAATGACAATACTTTTATTATGTTTCTTCCAGGCGCAGCTAAGTGCACGAACGGTAAAGATGTTCACCATGAAAGTGACAGCACGAAACGGAAATGTTGTAACAGACGATAGTGTGGCGTCAGACGATGCAGAGGTTCCGGGGGATGACGTCAGAATACCAGGTATAGAACATACCAATGACATGGTGCTTGGCAGACAGCGAATAAGTAAGTCAAGCGGACGCTTATGGATGTCGGGAATGCAAAAATCCTTAAAGCGCATGTCCGTTAGTGAATCCTATGACCTTCAAGAAGGTATCTACTCAACACGTAATGACATCCAACCTAATTCACCAGTCAGAGGAAACGGTCACGTGACTCATTTAGCAGCGGAGGAATCGGATGAGTCAGACGATCTGGATGATGTGCGAAAATATATGTTTGAAAATGAGGAAGGACTAACAGAACATAATAGTGCGTCAAATAATAACATTGTTTCCGGTCGGTATTCCGGATATGTCGTAGACGAATCAGACATCGAACTGTGTGAAGATCAGTCGTCTCTATTTGAAGACGAGTCTAATATCCTGTACTGTAGCCATTTATAGGGGGCAAACCAACAATATTGTACTCATATTATGAATATGCAGCCATGTTACATTGAAATGTCTTAGAATTTGTTTGTATTAATTTCTAAGACAACACTATTGTCATGTGAAAAACCAAACAGTGCTAAAAGCGATTGGTCCCTCTCCTTTAAAAATACAAACGAAAAATTAGGACTTGAGCAAGTCTGCTACTTCATTGATGACGCATTTTTAAGCCAAGTGTGAAAAAAGAACTACTCGCGCTATCCTTATGACTGCTCGGTTCAGCAGACACTAAAACAGCCATTTTGTTAAAAAGTATAGACAAACTTATCACGCATCATTTGATATAAATTCAGTACCACCTGTGTAATCCGACTCATGATAATTTCGACATCCTCTCCAATCCAACATTATTACTCAATGCTATTTTGTAAGGACACTATAAATAATACTGTACCTGTATGTTAGGACATCCTGTATTATTCGACTTCCATTTCTTATGTAATTATATGAAACTAGTCCTGTTTATTCCGACATCGTGTTTAATTTGGCCATAACTTTATCCTGCTGAATGTTGGACAAGCCAGGATTACTGCACAAGTATAAATGTATTTTTTGTACATTAGACCTGTACATCTGTGTATTCTGACAGCCTGTCCAATCCGACTTATTATAGCCCGACTGTTTATCGAAGCTGTTAAACAAAACCTGTGTATTTCGACATTCTGTCTAACCTAGCCATTATATTGCCCTACATGGTGTCGGATAAAGCAGGTTTTGCGTTATTTAGCGCCACAAAAAACCTCTCTGCTTTCTCGGCAATTACCCTACAAAAACGTTGGAGACCAAATCAATTCAAGCATCTATGGACAAAACTTAGCCATATAAAGTCAGTAGGCTCAAAGTCATGTACATGTAAGTAAAGACACCATCTTTTATTGAATTGATTTTGAATACTTCAGGCTTATTTTACATTTTGTTAGGTCCGAAACTATAAAAGTTCGGAAAAACTGTATATGCCATATTGCCAATGTATACGTTTAGTAGAACTACTTCCGGTTTTCCGATGTGTGACCGTAACTTAATTTTTTTCTACATTGCTAAAATACTATGTCATGAAAATATTTTTCTGTTGATTTTTCGTCAGTTTTAAATATTTTCATTTCTGTTCTAATTGTGATCTTTTGTTGAGAGTTATTTCCCCTTAAACCCGGTAACTGGTAATCATTCAGACATAATGGAGTTTATTTTTGTGTACATTTCACAAGAACTCTTTAAATGAATTCAGATTTTCAAACATACTGTTACTGAAATGATTTGAAGGTGTTTTTGATGTTGAACCTTTTTCGGAATAAGGTGGTTTAGCCATGCCAGAGTAAAGCAACGTATAGCCTTAAACTTGTATCCCACTGAAACGTGTAGACACATATTTACAATATAGGTAAATTAACATGTGTAGAATATGGAAACACATTTCTATGATTAAGCAGGAGTGAATGGGGACGAATGATAGGTTCCTGTGATCGACTTTCTAGTTCGTCTTACCACTAATATGTATGAACGGTTTTGGTGGTGGAGGAAAGCCGCAAAAAAACACCGACCTGCGGTAAGGACATGGTCACTGCACTACATAGGCCTTGAACCCACGACCAAGTGGTGGAGGGCTAGTGATCGAGGACAGTCAGACGTCTAAACCACTCGCGCACGTCGGCCCCCTAGGATTGTCAACTAAAGCGTACTTTAATAAGTTTAGCAATTTTGGACAATTTGACATGTACTGCCGATATATTCTGTATTTATTTTGACATGTAATGCAGATATGTACTTATCCATTCCATATTCTTATAAAATATTTGTTTGTTAGAAAACGACATTTACTTTATCATATAGGATTTTTGTAGGTTTCTTATTACTTCTCGGTTTGAAATAAAAACAAAATAAAAACAAATAACTTAAATAGTAAAATGAAAATAAAATGTCTTCAGGATAGCAATTATGTATGATCCATTAGATGACCTTATATAATTAAATGTTCTATGCAAACAAATCGCCTATACTCTAAACTTTGTTTTTCTTTGTCATATTCGTGGGCTACAGGTACCTGTTTCAGACAGTAATACATCCAGTGATTGTGTTCTTTTTTCTACTCTACAGTTAGTGTAAACAATATAATTCTGCATTAAATTAAATTTAAATTGCTTTTTCCATTTTCCATTTTCGACAAACCATTTCTTAAAACTCATATATATATATATATATATTTGTGTGTGTGTTTATGTGTAACATATTGACTTATTTCTCCATATCCTGATTGTTTATGGCTATTTTTCATATTTATATATTATTTTCTCAAAAAAAGTGAACTTCACAAAGAAAACTGCATGTCTGTGAAATCAAATTATTCCCAGCAGAAGTGATTTTAATCTAAAGTGTTGAGTTCAGAAATTTCGAAATTATATCATTTTTGTAGTCGATGGAAGTAATTTCGAACGAATAATCTTTTCATTTTTTTTTCGAAATGCAAAGATTATCATGTTGTCAAAATGATGTCAGAATCACATATTGTAAAGCTAGTACGACATTTCAACTACTTTATATTTCGCTTTTTGGGTCAATGACATTTCCTTATAATAACAAGTGAAAATGTTTAAACAGCTAATATAAAAATTCAACCATTTCGAAAGGGTTGCATTAAGAAATTACAAAATTATTGTATTTGTCGATTTTATATTTTTTATTTTACATTATGACAATTGGACTATTGACTTAAAATATTTTTGAACCTATCATATTTTGAAAATCTTTAAGCTGACCAGGAGAAGAAAATCCGGGTACCGTTTTCGTGTCAAGATCCGGGCACTGTGTCTTGGTGACGTTAAAAATATATGCAATATATCTACATGTTATGTAAATAAGCAGCAGATTTACATAAGTAATCTAGAATATTACAGATTAGATATATACTTTATTTATCATTATATAAAAAGCATACTTCAACAATTGTATTCGTTGAGAATATTATGAATAACGTCATATAACGTTTGTTTATTTGCTATTTTATTACCTTTTAAATTAAGTATCGCATCAGATCAAAGTGAGAAAAATGATTACCTAGTGATGTGACCTCTTGTTCCACACATAGTGTGGCTAAGTGTTAGTAAATTCTTGTTAACTTTAATGATCCCTGTCCCACTGCAGGGGGAAATCACTAGAGAATCACACTGAAGCCTTTCGTACATAGAGTAACCCCCCCCTTCGTTGTTTTTGGCTTTAACTATAGCGCGACTGTGCCAGGTGATCCGGTGACCAGGTAGTTCAGTTGGTACATCCTCGATATCCAGGGGATACGCTCACTTTTGCTCTCTACACTCCTGGAATATGTCATAGCAAAATCGAAGGCTCAGTGTGCAGCACCTTGTGGACAAACCGAGAAGACTAGTTTGATCCTTTGATGTTCATCAAAAGAATCTCGTGGTCGCGTGTCGGTAAAACTTACTGGCTTTGAAGTAGGGTGACGCATCTCTGTAATCTTCAAAGAGCATGCATCAGCCAAGTGATTGGTCAGATTTTTTTGCCTGACACCAATCAAAAAGCTAGGCGCGTGCCTTTAATTTTGCTATGACATATTCCAGGGGTGCAGAGAGCGAAAAGGAGCGTAACCCCTGGATATCGAGGATGAGTTGGTAGAGCGAGACCATAAAATCCTGGCCTGGTCTCACTCAGGTGTGGTTTTCTATTCAGTAATGATTTAACAATGCATAGTTACATTTTTTGGCAGTGGTATGGTGATCCTTAAAAATACTTTTCTGACCGACTACTGTTACTCAACTAAGAAAAATATCAGCAGTGAAAATTAAGACCAATAGTACAGTTGGTATAACGAACTTGGCAACGGTCAGGAGGACCAAACTGTGACCTTGACTTTGAAAGGAACGAGGCGAACATCTATTCCTTAACAACGTTAGCATATTAAATTAATGTAATGTATATTGAAGCTAAAATATATGTATCACGTTTATGTAACATATTGCAGTATGATTGTACAGGATATATATATATATAACATACTCAAGACTCACAATAATATTTTTTAAAGAGATATCAATTGTGTTTCTGTCCTTTTTTTCGTTTTTTGATTTTGCTTTTTTTGTTTTTGTTTAACCTGACGTGCTGCTTAGTTCCAGAGGACAAGCAGCGGCTTGGATGCTTTTGAATAGGATGTTTTGGCGGGAGATAATATCAAAACCGAAACATCCTTATTGCGAACTCAAATAATCCGGAAAACCCCAAAATCCGATTCATTTGATCGTGAACAGATTTTAACAGCAATTACTGCAATTGATAATCTTGAAATTTGCTAAATTACATGTTACTTAAAAAGTGAATATGGTTCTTAATCATAGCTGAAGTACAGGCACAAACTATCTTAAAACAAGAAGTATCTTTGAAAACGACAAAAGGCAAACATTTTCATATATGCAGGTATAAGTCTGAAAACTGTACTGATGACATCGCTTAAAACACAAGAACAGAATAATTCAAGGAAATTCACTCTACAGTCGTAGAACACGTGCGTATCGTTCAACGGGAGATAATCCATTATTTCAATAGCTTCGTGTGTAATACGACATTTTTGTATTCCGCCACCTATTTCTGCTATACGTGATATCGTTGCATTCCAGGCAGCAATGGATAAAATAATCGTGGTGATCGATATCAAGCGTAGGGTAACCACGAGCATTTCTTGTTGTTTTAAAATGGAAAGTGTACCGAGTCCTTCGTCTTTTAAAGATGTACGTAGAAAGAAATCATGCGATACCAGTTACATGTAAATCGTTCGTGTTTTAATCCCTCTTAGAATTTTGTAGAAATTATATTGTTAGCTAATCCAAAAACAACGGAGACCACTCAGAGTTCTGTTTTCACTGTAGGAGTCATATTAGTGACGAATCGCTGTAAAAGGGTACTGCCATCACAGTCAACAATGTGTGGCAAAGAACAGTGCGCAGTGATGGGTTCAGCTCCTTGTTTTAGATAAAGAGAATAAGCAGTAAGCAGAAATCATTTTCGAAAAGAAGTACAATGTATTGTATTAAATCTAGAAACAAGCAGCCCACGGAGCTTTACCGCTTAAATGGCGATTCTGAACAGACATTGTAATATGCACAATAATACAATACATCTCCAGCACACACGCAGGCATACACACACAGGGAGATATTAGCCAGGTGGCATATAATTAGTAGTAAGCGCCTGATAAGACAGCTCCTGCAAATTCCTCATAACTGTATTGATAAATGTATATGCTAATTGTATATTTATGTACTGTAAAGCGCTTTAGAGGGGCCTTATTCTAGCTAGATAGGGCGCTATACAAATGTTGTATATTATTATTATACTACGCTATTCAGTGATGTTCACATCATTTTGACCGTTTGCAGCAAAATGGCTTAAAATTTGTTCTGGAGATTATTCAACAAGAGGCCCAAAATGATCTTAATGCACACACAAGCTTTATGACTTGATTAGATGTCAAATATGAACATACACTGCAAGGGGCACTACACTTTGATACCTGACAATAATATGTACATCAATCTGATTATACTGAAAGTTCAAACAGACTTTCAAGATAACTAATGGCCTTAAAATAGCAATACTTGCATGAAATTTAGACAAAAACAGTTCAGTAGATTTGCATTTAAATTCAATACTCTCGACTCTCATGTGAGCTGAAAAATTATGATCATGTTGGTTATATCGGCTTCTACCACAATACGCTGTGTTATTCCACTCTCAGATCATTGTATAAACACGCAGACTGTTAGATAAATATGAGTTATATACCACACATGGTATATGACCTTCAAGGGTTTTGATTGGTCGAGAAGATGAACTTTGACCGGGAAGACTTTTTCCACGTGCTTTTTGCCACCTGCTGTTTTGTTTACGTCGTCGGCTGTCAACATCCGACAAATGTTGGTGACGTTGTGAGGTTATGTGGAAAGGGTGGTTATTAAGGCAATATTTAAAGATGATACTTAAAGATTTGATCGCTAGTTTCAGGCAAAATTGCTACAGACGCTCGATATCGTTTCGACGTCACACCGTCGCGTGTCCAGGTCGTGAAACCAAATCAAGATCTGTCACAGTGTCGGGAAATATTTCGTTCTCACAACGTCCCGTTATCGCTATTTAGACGGTCTGACTATGGCTGAACTTTCACTATAAACGTCAACCATAGAACCGTCACGAAGAAACGTAGGCCTAGAAACGTAGGCCAATGGTTTTGAATATTGACAGCGATAAGTTCGTCTACAACGGTTCATCCCTTGGCGGGAGGCAGACTTCGTACGATATGCTTACGCGCATATAGTCCGTGGTTAATTTATATAAATTAATGCAATACTGCTACTCTCAATATTTTAAGTCGTTCATCTATTTTATTTTTTCCCGAAGTTGTTGCCGAAACATTAATTTTGACAATAATTAAATTTGTAAAAAAAAGAAGTCATTTTTGAATATAAATGAGTGACTTTTTACATATGGGTCATATCACTACGCCAGCCTTGTCAACAAACACATGTGCGTATGTTATTTCCGACTGATCATGATATTGTGGTAGAAACAGATCACACGACTCGTGGTTGTTGAGTATGGTATTTATTTCACTCTCGTTAGTTAATTTTCAAAAGTTAAAGAAAGACACTCGCTAAAGCTCGTGTCTTTTGTAACTTTTTAAAATTAACTAACTCGAGTGAAATAAATACCATATTCAACAACCACTCGTTGTGTAACCTCTATCTTTCTAATTGGTTCCAAAATCATGGAATGTCCAAAGAAGGAAAGCAATAGCTCACACGAATTCCATGTGAGCTGAAAGTGTTTGTTCTCATTTGAATTAATTCCCTTTCAACGGTAAGCAATGCTATGAACAATAGCACCCTGACCTTTATCTGTCTTGTTTATTCCTTAGCATGACACACCATGCAAATGAAACTCGTTCAATCCTCACCAATTTAAGACTTTGTGATGATGTGTCGGGAAGTTTGTGACGTCAGAGTCTAATGATGAGCGCAGTAATGTGTTTCACATAGTCTTGTAATATTGATTGACTTATTAAAGCAGGCGAACAATTATGGTCCCATGAACGACTGCTTATCGACGGTAATATTGCATGTTTGGATAAGAGCATGATCATAACAAGGTGCTTCACTGCTATATACCACTTTTATCCCGTTTTGACGTCAGGATCTTTGACTTTGTCTCCAGTTCTACCGTATCATTAACAGAAAAGCTAGACAGTGTTACATCATTGCACGCCTTTTGTGTGATGTAACAGAATATTTTGCCACATTGTTTTAAATTCTCTTTCATCGTTGAAATATACGTTATACTGCCCTCCCTTGGATCCGTAGCTAGTGACAGACCCCTGTATTGTGATTGTCCTATATCCTACACGTTTACCACAGGGGCCTGCTCATTGTTACAGCTATCTAAACTGAAATGTTTTGAGTAATATGTTCTAAACCCCTAAACGTGTAATACTACTCAGTAACATTCAGTTAAAATGCCATCCCCAATTACGATATTGTCATTGGGGTGGCGTTTCTATCGTAAGTTATTCTCAACCTTTATTACGTGTAATATTACCAGCCACCCAATTAAAATTATATTGATGTGGACATAGACGCTGCAATGCATGCGTTCAATAATATCCCATTAAATTAAATTAACCACTAACACTCTTTTAGGAAGCAAATTACGACTCTGTTTTTGTTGTAGAGCTATTTAAGTTTTGTGATTCTGCTCGTGTCACTTGACACGTATAGTACAGTATGAATAGTGAGTTATTTCCAAACTGATAAATACAGTTAATCTGTTAAATTCAAACAAGGATTTAGATACGAAAGAGTTTGATTTTGGTTGGATTTTGTTTAACGTCCTATTAACAACTAAGGTCATTTAAGGACGTGCCTCCACGTGTGTTGTGTAAGCGTGCCTGTGTGGATGTGGGCTGACAGGCTATGTTTATGTACTTGCCTTGTGATAGCACGGATCTGATGCCGACTTAAGAGTGCTATCTCACTAAAATACCATGCTGAAGACACCGAGCTCAGCATCCAGCCCGGTTACATTATACCGACAACGAATGAATCAGTTGTTGCCATGGTTACAAGTCCACACCTTAAAACAGCGACGGGCTCAGTACACACTTTGTATATATACTTTTCCTTTATAACATTAAAGCAACTTATCCATTGGCTTTATTTGATCTCTAGCTGGTACTCAACTGGTTGACCAGCCGTACTTTGTCTACTCACCGCTAGGCTTCACTTTGAAAATACAATCAAATAGTATCAAAGAGCGCAACCTAGCAGAGAACAATTGGTACTAAGGCAGGAAATTCAGTCTTTAGCTGACACGAAAATTACAGTGATATCACATATGAGTAGGATTCGCAATACAGAATCTCCCGTCGAACTCTCAGCACGTGTATGGTTTCCCTGCGGCTAAATCAATAAAATATGTGTATTTTAATGGATAAAGCCGTTCATGGATACACATTTATTTCGGTTTTTATTACCAAAGACATTGAAACTTGGCCGTTTATATTTCTTAAAGATTTTGCATGCGACATGATCGAGTTATATATAAGAATTCAGATGGCTATTTACGTTCAGGGTCTAATTCACAGTGTTGGCCTCTTTCAATCTTGAAACTTTAAAAAACACTATAACCTTGAACTTCTTCATCAAGTGGAGGATTTTACACCGAAACGTTTTACCACGTCCTGGGTGGAAGTACTTATTATTTCATGATAAATTTGTAATCGTAGATTTTTGTAGCCTGCGTTAAGATTCCTGGTCTAAAGTGTTAGCCCCTTTCAATCTTAAAAAAGAACCTTTATAAAAATCCACTTAAACATTAAACTGTCGTACTCCTCACGACGTCAGCTACTATACATCGACTCGTTTTCACCATGTTCGGAACGCAGCAATCTGTGATTGATGTAGGAAATGAGCTATATAAGGTTCTCGATGGCCGCGTTTAGAGCCATTGTTCAAGGTGTTAGCCTTTACAATTTACATATATGACCT